CCATTTTTCAGTGGGAGTGGCAATACTCATTGATGAGTGATTTATCGTACCCATTTATTAGTAACTGTTAGCAGCTAATGATTAATTGATTTACCTATTTTAGAATTACCTATACTTCACATCAGAACCTCATTTCCTTCAATTACTACTCCGTCGCAGCACACACCTTATATGGATCGCTAACCTTTATTTAGTTTCAGCATTTTCGACATTATAATCAAAGGGTGAGTTTTAAAAGTATAATTACCATGCATATAGATAAGTTAATGTACCAGAACCTGGACGGACACGAGCCTACCCAGGGGAGGACCCGGATACGACCACCCATGTGTGTCTATAGTATCGCACGAGCTGACGAGTGCAACGGGAAGGACAGTAGGTGTATAGACTAGGGGGTTGGTCCCTAGATAAGCCTTCTTAGCGGAAGGCACAGCCTATGCACTGAACAATTACAATTACAATACACTTCGCTGAATGCATGCAAACGATTCTTTATGCTTTCAGCTTCAATTTGACTATATTTTTACCACTGAGAAAAAGCAATCTAGCAGGGTTTTCTTGAAATGAAACACACGCACTACAAATTGTAGCTGATTTCGAGTTGCCGATAATAGAACAGCAGATTTACATGCAGCTCAAATGGAACGGTTGCCGAAGAAAAACTGGTTGCCGACAATACTCGCTCTCACTAGAGAAGATTGGAGCTTTGTAAAAGCGTTTTAAAACAGTTTTTGACAATTCTTTCGACTGAAATTGTTAGAGCAGCTGGCAGCAAAAGATTGTAAACAAACCAATACTGCATATGTGTGCGTTCCATAGAGAAAAAGGCTATAGAAAGAAGGTCGCTGCTTAGGTTGCCGAGAATACGTAAATTCCCCTACCATTATTACGAGTACTACTTTTTTGCTCGGATCATGTTTTGACTCCCACAGAAACTCGCTAGAATAAATACAAAATAATAGTTTTTTGGTTGAAATTTCAAAAATGTATTGTATATATTGACACATTATTTCGGACTTATCACCGCTGCGATTGCAGCGCCACGGTGACCGATTGAAACTTGGATTTGTCAATAGTTCTGTCAAATCCTCAGCATTTCCACTGATCCATTAAGATGGTCAAGTTTTAAACCCACCACAGCATGCTTTTGGCGCTACTGTATATGGACAATCAAATGTATGATACTGTGATAGCCATAGCATAGTTCTGTCCAAACCTCAGCATTGTTATTGATCCATTCTTTGGTACAAACAACGTAAATATGTACCTTTTTTTTTTTACAAAACCCAGGTAATCATGACGTTTGATTATTGAAAACAATATGAATGAAAAAAAGAGGCCAACTGCTGTCATGATTACCTAAGATTTGTCTTGCATCACCGACAAACCGACATGAACGACCAAAGCAAAAACAATAAAATTTCTGACCAAAGCACACTACACAGGTTCATCGGTTGTGTAATATCACATTGTACGATGTACATCGATTTTGCGAAACAAAATTACATCCATTGATGTTATATTGTATCTGCTTTTTGCTATTACATCATTATTTCATACATCAGCTTGAATTACGTTGATCGATATTACATTTTTTTTTGCTGTGCACTGACATCTGGCTCCGTGTTCGCGGGAAATATTTCGCTAAGCCATGAACCAGCATGCAAAAGTTATGAATTGGCTCGTGTCTGATCTATTCTGGACAAATTATTTTTATCTAGAACAAAAAATCCTATGGTTTTGCCAGTTCGGACCACTGCACATTTAAATCGGCCGTTTACGATTTTCGGGCATAAGTCAGAATTAAGTGTCATGTCGGTTTGTCGGTGCTTTCCATTGGGAACGCACATGATATTTTATAAATCACACAAGGGGCACGCAATACAAAGAACCGGTGCGTTGAAGTTAAAATGCAATCAAAAGTACATAAAGTAATTAATGCGTTTTGAAGTAGTACTGAAGGTAATTAAAAATATCTATCCGTAATTAATGTAATTAAAACTATTGAAAATGTAATTAATGTACTTTAATTACGAAATTTCGACTGTAATTAATGGAGTTAAAAAGTAGTTAATGTTCTACATTGTATAATTAATATAATTAAAGCAGTAGTTAATAGAATTAATTTAATTACAACCGCTGCCTGCTTTGGAGTTAAAGGTTATTGCGTGCCCCTAAAAATCACATAAACTTCATTGGACACATAAGGTTCATGTGATTTCGTGGTGCGATTCCCAATCATGAGAACACATGAAAGCAGAGGTGGCAACAGTACATTTTTTGCAAAACCATCGTCCAGAGCAAAACAAAACATACGGCGGAGATAGAGAATAGGAAAAATGTCGTAGCCCATTATTTTTCAAACAGTTTATTGAAATTACATTTTAGCTGCAAGCTTGCATGTGACAGTAAATTATTATCTCCCTCATTTACGCATAATTTTAACATCTAAGCTTATGAGTGGTTAGTATTCGTTCTTATTTTATAATTTCATGCAATAAACATCAAATAAAACAAAAAATTCAAGAGCAAATTTTCATTATGTCGTAAGTAACATTCGCACCAATCCGAGAAAAATAAAGTTTTGTTTTGATGACCGAAAAGTTATTCCTATTTCCAAGTAAACACATATAATCTCATAGTGATAGCAATGTTTAACATATTTAGCAGGGTTTTAATCATACAAATGCAAATCGCTAGCTTTCATGCTAAAAAACACTGGTTTTTGAGTCAAAAGTTATTATACGTCGTGGCCCCTTACTTAAGTCAAAATGTATTTACCAGGATATTCGGGAGAATTATCAATTACGTCTCCTTACGTGCAGCCCATTCATCATTTTAGGACCACCGAAACCATCTTAGCAACAAACAGTTCGATTTATTCACTTTAATAATGAGAAAGCGAAACGACGAACGTACACTTTTCACGGATTTCTCAGCGCTGTTACTTAAGTCAAACGGCATCTCCATAGAAATTGGGTGACTTAAGTAACATCGAAAACTATTTTGATCGGAAGGTGATTACGTCAAAAAGCAATTTGACTGGCAAATAAATTTAAAAATGTGATTTGATCCTATATTCGGACAGTATATAGTGTAATAGCAGGAGAATCGATTGACACTGAAAGCTCGACTTTGTTTACCTTTGTTACATTCGACGTAATGAAAATTTGCTCTTGAATTAACACTTGTATTTCATGATTTTCTATCTAATCTCTAATCTAAAGGGTGTCCACGATGAAATTGCCACACTATGAAATTGCTCTAACTTTTTAACCGTTGGGTAGAATTTAATGAAAATTTGGGTGGATTTAGTTCATAGTGCATTATTTACATCCTGCAAGTTTTAAAACCCTGTGATCAAAACTCGCGGAAATGGAGTCGAAAGAACAGCTCGTGCGTGATAAAATCTTGCGCATTCATCACGAGAACAAGGATCTCTCGAATCGTTCCATCGCTAAAACGTTGGGAATCGCGAATTCCACGGTGTCGCGAGTGATTAAGCGGTTCGAGGAACGGTTGACCACCGATCGGAAGCCTAGAAGTGAAGGAAAAAGTATTCCGTACAACACCAAAAATCACAACCGCGTAGTTGGGGCCTTCAACCGAAATCCGAACGCCTCCGTTAGGGATGTGGCTAAGAAGCTGCACCTAAGCCGAAGTTTTGTCCAGAAGGCCAAAACTAAGGCTGGGCTTCGAACGTTCAAGGTACAAAAGGCCCCTAATCGCGACGAGAAGCAGAACAAGTCCGCCAAAACCCGTGCCAGGAAGTTGTACCTCAACATGCTGACGAAAGTTGAATGCTGCATCATGGACGACGAAACATATGTGAAGGCCGACTTCAAACAGATCCCCGGCAACCTGTTTTTCACGGCCAAGGATAAGTTCAGCGTTCCGGAGCATGTCCGCACTCAGAAGATGTCCAAATTTGCGAAGAAATTCCTGTTTTGGCAAGCCATCTGCACGTGCGGGAAGCGGAGTGCACCTTTCGTGACCCAGGACACGATGAACGGACAGGTGTACATAAAAGAGTGCCTCCAGAAGCGGCTGCTTCCTCTCCTGAAGGCCCACAACGTCCCAACAATCTTCTGGCCGGATTTGGCCTCATGCCACTACTCCAAGGACGTGCTGAAGTGGTATGCGGACAATAAGGTCAATTTCGTGCCGCTCCGCCCCATCGAGAAGTACTGGGCGATTATGAAGCAGCACCTTCTTAAACGACCTAAGGTAGTGAAGACAGTCGAGGAACTGAAGAAAGTATGGGTTTACATGCAAAAAACGGTTGATTCACAGGTTGTGCAGAATCTTATGGCCGGGGTTAAGGCCAAGGTGCGGGCATTTGCGTATTTACAGTCACATTTACAGTGAAGCCAAGTCTACCTATTGAACTGTCAAACAGGCTACCTATCGTGCAAAGTAAACAAACATTACGATGGTATGAATGGTCCACGAAAGGTATTGCAATTAAATATAAAATATAGTCGAAGAAATGATCATAAATATGCAGTGAGCATTACATTGTCATGGGATACGTTTGGTAATGATCAGTAATGAGAATTTGTACTATTTTTTGTTAAGATAATTTGACAAAATCATTGATATAATGATTTACTACAGCCGTTATTTTTTTTTACTAAAAGTCATTTGAAGTTGATGCAGAAGTCCTCTGTTGCCAAGTTAAAAGAACGTGTGAACGTTTTGTCTGCTACATTCTTATGCACTAGATAGTGTGACATCACATTTGCTGTTGTATTGAAATGGAGGAAGAAAAGAGATGGTTTAATTTTCCTCACCATACCAGTTGATATTTATGAAACATGGACAGTTTTGGCGTGGGGACATGCACTTCCAATGAATTTTACCCATACATTTAGAAAATGATGTTCGAAGAATATTTCAAAAAGAAGACCTTAATGCAAATCCAATTAACTTACCGCAGCTTCAGGGTCGACATGTCATCATCCGGTCATAAAGAGGTGATACAAAAATGAAACAACATGTTTTACAATTCAATTTTCTTTATTAGTTAACTATCGCTTTAAATAAATATTTACAAAGATACTTTTTTCCGTTGTTCCTACTCGTTGTTTCATCATTAACTTGTCGCGTCTATAATTAACATACAGTGAATTGTTCAATTGTTTTTTTTTTATTATTTAACTTTCACATTTTCATACACATATTTCGTCGTTCTCCGTTCCGTATTTGTTGGCTAATTGCTAACTTTTAGTTTTAATTAATTGTAATTTCCCTAGCGTTACTGTAGGTCTTGTAACCGTCTGTCTGTCTGTCCGTGGTAGTCGGCATGAAGTCGTACGTTCTAATCGCTCTAATTTGGGCTAGAAATAGAATTCCTTCTCCTGGTGCGCCAGTTTTGTCGTAACAGATTGTTAGTCTCTGTATTGGTGCAGATTGTTTTTTGTTTCTTTCATTTAACCCGAAATGCTTTCGCTACTTGCTAACCTGTAAATACTGCTTTAATATTTTTTTTTCCGATAAGATGGGAATCAAGGGATAAACGCTGATTTGGTTGAAGGGATTTAATCTGGCGACTAGACTAGTGTTGGGGCGCCATTTCGTTTGTGTCACTGAAAAAGTACCGTGAAAGGGTGGACTAAAGGAGGTCTGAGTTGTCATTTCTAGCTAATATGTATAATTTAAGTTGGTTCGTTAGCATTCTCTCATTGATATCGGAGATGGAAGGATGAAGTTGAGGAGTTAGTAGTTGGCTTTGGTGAAGACACATTCACCGATAGGCAAGGGATAGGGGATAGGGAACTATAATTTAAGCAAATAAATAAGTGTTCTTTAGATTCAAAGATACTCGGTAATAGATCCGGGTTTGCGAGATTTGGCAATAGGGTACCGTCTCACTCGCTCCAGATCTAGATAGTTATAAGCTACACGAAAAAAACCCTACAACATAGTGACGGAATTGAAAATCATCGGTTTTGTTGTCGCTAATTCTACACATTTTAGTTTTCTTTCTCTCTCTTCTTTTCTTTTTTCAGGGGTTGTAGACAAGGGGGGAGGTGTGAGGGTGTGAAAACGATGCAAGGGCGAGAGGATATTTTGATTGAATAAATTAAGCGTGTACATAAATAGGTTAGTGTGAGATGAAGAGGAGCTTGGGAATTTAAGAAGCGTGGCGGTTTTCATTTTCTTCTAAGATAGGATTTTAGATGAAAAGATAAGGGATTAGTGCACTGGGGAAAGCTCCTCTTGATGGGTGATGTAGCAAGGGGTGGTGTGGTGTGGTGTGGTGTGTTTATAGATTAGATAGAAGCTAGGAAAGTTGATGCATTCAAGGAAGCGTTTGTTGGTTTAGAATAGTTTCAACATTCGTCAACAGATGTAACCGGTGTACAATGAGTTCCGTTGGAATGCTTTGGCGTTACTTTTTTTCTTTTTTTTTTGTAGGCCAATGAAGGTCTATTTTCGAATGCTGAATCGCTCCTAACAGTGCTAGCACATTCCATTGAACTTCACCAAGTAACTGACCGCCTAACCCACGCGTTTGCGAGTGGGTCAAGTATCCAGAATGCCACTGCGTACCTAACCAATAAAACAAGCATCTAACAAAACGTTAACCATTCGAACAGCGAAGCTCCACATGCAATTCGTCGTGTACAACCGCGGCACCGCGGAGGGATCGGCTGAAGCGTTTTACTTTGATACCAGGAACACGTGTGAGCTGCTGGGAGGGAAAGATATGGATGGTTTGGGATGAGTGTTGAATGTCAGTACCGGGACCCTAGTTTTACCTGGACAGTGGCATGTGGTTAGCTACAAAATACGAAAGAAAAAAAGAAGAAAAGAAACCAAAAAAACGAGACCAGATTGTGTTTTGGTTACACGTATTAGTTCACCTTGAGAAACTGCGACACGAAGGTGGGAGCCGTACCTTTGCGATCGAAGTGTCTCACCCGGACGAAGAGGAAAGCGGCGACTAGTGAGGCCACAGCCAGAACCAACAGCAGCATCACCAATCCACCGACGAAGCTTGGCACCGACATGCAGATGGTTTCCGGATCCACGGTACGTTGCGATTGGATCACAACGGTCTCGTTGTTGGCACCACCGTTCAGTGCAAAGTTCACGTCACCCGGGGCAACGACCTGGATGATTCGTTCCGTGTTGACATCGGTCATCTCCTGGGCGTCACGCTTGTAGATGCGGGGTTTCACCACCACAGTCATGGTATCACGTCGTCGTCGAACTCCGCGCAGGTCATCCAAGCCTTCCACCGATCGTGGACGGCCTCCCAGGCTGACCAGGTTCCCATCGTTGGCCATATCATCCTTTCGCTTGGTAACGGTTACATATCCCGACTGTCCAGGTGGTGGTGGTGGCGGCATGTTGATGTTGTCATGGATCTCATTGTGCAGTTGGTTTTGGTTTTGATTTTGCTGTGGTGCATCCGATTGATTGGAGCCATCTTTGTTCTCGCCTGAGTTTCCTGAAGTTTGAGCCTGTGGTGGCGGTACAACATTGTCCTGGTTCTCCGAGTATGCGCCAGAAGAGTCCGAAGGGTGTCGTGGATCTGGGTACGCTGGTGGCACTCCATATTCTGATGGTGGTCCATATTCTCCGCTCAAAGCGCCAGGAGCTCCATATTCTCCAGAGATTCCATTACCGGTCAGCGCTGGCAGTCCGTAGTCTCCTCCGCCGCACTTGGGTTCTGGGCAATTGTATCGGCAAACCTGGATCACACACTGGAAGTGAACGTTCATGGAATCGGGGAACTTGAAAGCTTGGAAGTACGCGAATGACACGACCGATGCGGATGGTCCAAAGTTCTTGATCTTCTGGAATTTGCTCATAATCTTCGGACGTACAACGCATCCATGTTGGTCAACCAGTTGAATTGGAGCACGCTTGCCATCATGAGCAACACAGTTGCGGACCAGCATATCGAACTTGTTCTCGTCATCCTTGATGGCTAGCACCATGGTCATGGTTTGACCGATCTTCACGATACCCGACACTTCGGAAGCCCATGGACCCTTACCGACTTGAATCTGCATCCAGCACTGGAGATTGTCACCAAGGAAGTTAGCCGTCACAGCGTGTAGCATGTCGACTTGGAATGGACGGAACGTGACGGCCTTCTCGTAGAAATCGTACCACGTGCAACGCAGCTTACGAGCCTACAAAAAAAAGAGTCAATCATTGTCTGTTACAGCAAATGCATTCGGGACACTTACCTGATCCCAGACTTCCTGCACATAGGGGTCGTACTGGATGATGATGGTGTTTTCGACGTAGCTTCCGGACGGAGTCGGGGCTCCAAAGTTGGCCGCGTTGTGGTTCGCCGAGCTGCTCATACCGCAGCTGTTCAGGAAGATCTCGAAGGTCGCACTCAGATGGCCGGTACCCGGTTTCAGATGCACACAGTGGGGATCGCTGTAGAATCCCTTCGAGAAGATCATTCCGTAGAAGGGTCGATCGAATTCGATGTTGACGCGCATGTGCGTCTTCTCGCACTGCACCTGCAGATGCTTGATCTGGGGGCTATCGTTCGTGGCCGACAGGGGCCATGGGTCGTCTCCACCACCATTGCTGCTGCTGATACTGCTGCCGCTACCACCGCCGCCGCCACTCAACAAACCAGGCGTTCCGTATACTGGTGATGGTGCTGGCGGCCCATAGACGGCTCTGTGCTCCAGGGGCAGTGCGGCCGAATCTACGAGGGGAGCATCACAGTCGACATTCTGGAAAAAGGCGGAAGAGAGATAGAGAGGGAAGGCGTTTTAGATATGTTACACTTAATAAACTTTGTGTTAATTGAAATAGCTACCAGCGATTTCACAAAACTAATTTCTATTTTTATATGAAACGCACAAATGTTGGCTACTTTTCTCGTGGTCCTAGAAGAAAAAAAATCTTAAAATAATGTTTTATTTCAAAGTTCGAGTGGTAGTAAACGTCATTTTAACTGCTCGAATGAAGTGGTTAATTGGACGTAATTATTTCACTTTTAATAAGTTTAAATTTTGTCATAACATTTAACAAGTCTATTTGAGGGTGCTAATAGTTGAAGTGGGTTCAATTTATTCAAAATACCCTAAGAAAACTAATTCGAGTGTTACGTCATGACTAATTCCGAAATCTAATATCTACGAATCCTTCGTTTTTTCTTCGAACGAGGGTGTTCAAATTGAAGCAAAATACAGAAGCTTTAGCTATTGTCGATCTCGGCTCCACACGTGGTCTTACTAACGGAGAAGTAGTATCGATTAACACGCCGACGAATCGACTAATATCCCCCGTGTTTCGGCGATCAACTTTGCGGTAAATGTGTCCCCGGAAAGGATGGAGTGCACTGCTCGATTGGTACTGCTTGACTCCACGGGGTTGATATCTGGTTCGTGTACTGGCTTCAGAACCCGAGCGGTGGACGTCTAACGTACAGCTGCTCGAATTTCGTTGTATGCGCGGGGGCTGACTCAAAATAGTGCCACGTCCGCTAGCGCAGTACATTTACCGACGAACCGACATGCCACAGGAGCATTTTGCTTGTCCACAATTCGAATTGTCAAACGAGCGATTCGAACTTTCAAACGGGCGATCAGATCTGTCAAACGAGGTGAGACGCAAACCAAGGCAATATAAATTATACGTGGGTTCGTGTCCTTGCTCATGGTATGATGCGATCGGATGAGAAGATGTCAGTAGTGTTTAACGTATTTTAAATATGGCGTCTTGGGCACGAATTTGAAAGTAGCTTGTATGAGCTGTCACGTCGGTTCGTCGGTGGTACACTTCTCAACGTCGTAGCCGGATACGACAAACTCCATGGCAAATGATCCGATACCAACGGATCCGGTACAAACCGCTAACGTTGTTGATGAGCTGAGCTTTAATTCGGCTAATGCGTCTAAAGCTCAAAATATGCTACACAACTCATAAAAAGAATTTTAGAATTTAGTTAGAAATAAATTCCTTTTTCGAACAATAGACTTCTCTGCCACCGTTAGTATTAGTGAGTAGTTTCACTAATACATGCGTTTTACTGGTTGAAAATAATCGCTGTCAAGTCGAATACTTTGAAAGCTGATTTCGTGGTTGAAAATAATAAACAAATCGATTTTACACGGCTACTCTAGCAAGGTTGGATTAGTGAGATCTTGCGTCGAGAAGTCAATGAACCATTTTTGCAATTTTTAAACTTGGAAGATCACTTCTACTATAGATCGAAATTTGATCTACTCACTTTGAGCACTCCACCACTCATGACTAATCGATCCCGTATCAAATTGGGTCAGAGTTAAAACCAACGACGTAATATTCTGTGCGAGCAGAATATAAACTTTTCTGTGATTGGAAAATTCAATAGCTCGTGTGGTCAATTGGAAAATCAAAGCAAAACTAAAAATGGTCATGCGAAACCTAGTTTTATGATCTGCAATTACAAAAATGACGATGTATTAAAAAAAATGTCATTTGATTTGACAGATATCAAAACGTCATTACCATTTTCACCCACTCGCCATCTGTGAAACAATCGTCACTTTGATTCTTCAATTAAAATCTCATTTTCTCAAATTGTTGGGATGAGTTTACCAACTCTTTTTAGCTACACTTTGTGGGTTGTGTGTGTGATAGCTTAAAGCTGCAATTTAGAGTTTATTTCAGGAAAGATGCGTAACTTATTAATTTTAAGACTTACAAATTTGGTGTACTTGCTCTGGAAGTGGTATGGCTCGAATTCCCACTCTACTTCTTCAATTTAGACCGTACTATAATTTTAATTTAATACTAGCGTTAAGTTCAATTTCCGTTTATTTCATCCGTACTTACAGTGTTTATAATTTATGATTAGATTTAAGCACTACACGGCAAATAATGTGAATATTAGATAAGTAGAATAATAGAATAAGGATAGTAATAGATGAACAACTATGTAAACTTTTGTTCTTCGTGTTTGTTCTTCCTCTTTTCGTTTGACGTTATTCTACACGCTAAGATCAGATAACCCAAATGTAGGTTTACTTTACCCAAATCAGGCGTAAACTGCACAAACTCAGGTATGGGTAAAATTTTTAACCCAAATATGGGTAAATTTAAGTCAAATTTGCATAAAAATAAATCGTTTATGGTGCATAAGAACCCATATTTGGGTTAAAAAAAAAATACCCATATGTGAGTTTGTGCAATTTACGGCCAAGCTCGGTAATCTCTTTGTACCGTCTGGGTAAACTGATCTTAGCGTGTAAGTTGCACCGGTGACGTTTCCCACTGTCATTTGATTCACTGTAAATGCAGGGCCGTAGCGTTTGCAGCGTCGTGACATACCCCCGCCCGTAAACCTTGGTGAGGGTTCGAAACATAGCAGCACGATCCAAATGTGGCGACATCCATGACGTAGACTTGTGGTAGGTCTGTTGTACGAGGACGGAATACGAAGCGTTGCGATTGGTAGTCAGGTGAACGTATTTTGAGTTGGTGGAACATTTCCATGACATCGCCACTGACCGCCACTGGATATTGACGGCACTGGTATAAGACCATCGGAAGCGGAGTCAGTAGATCGGGTCCCTTCAGAAGTCGGGAGTTGAAAGAGACTTCACCCACCTTGGCTGCCGCATCCCAGATCAACCGAACTTTCCCAGGCTTTCTGGGGTTGGTGACAACACCTAGAGGAAGATACCACACTCGGCTTGCCTCAACAGAAGTCAATTCGCCCGGTGTGCATAACCTTTCCTTTCATATTCCAGGATCTGCTCACGTACACGCTCTTGCAGCTCTGGTTCTCGTTGAAGCTGACGCTCTAGTGACTCAAGACGTCGGACAGCCATGGGATAACTGTCGGGAAAGTTAGGGTTGTCAGTGTTCCATAACAGGCCGGGTTGTCTCCTTAAGCAGTTGGTTTGCACGCTTCTTGTCAGCCGACTCAGGAACTTGACGTGGCTCAGCTACTCCAGCATCCTCGAGGGTGAAACAGTCACGAAGCTGTTCGTTTAACTCGCGATCACGATCGGATACAGTTCCGATGTGGAAGCCGACAATCGTTGATTGGGTCGATTGGTTTGGAACGTAGCCATAGATGCTCCACCCCAGCCGACATTTTGCACCGACAGGATGGGATGGGCCATCCTTCTCGTAGCTTTAGAGGGACGCATAATCTCAGGTTGTCAAGACCAATGAGTAATTTGGGCTCGATCGACACGTAGTCGTCGAGTGGGAGACCACGTAAATGAGGAAAACGTTTTGAAAGGTCCAGATACTTCAAGCTTTGCGTAGGCAGAACAAGATGGCTAACCGTACGAGCATTGTGAAGTGTGTGTCGAGTTTTACACATTGTGACTTTGGCTCGACCCGTGTCACGTTTCCGGTCCACTTCAGAGTGAGTGTTTCTGATTTCCCGCTGACACCAAGCCGTCTCGCAACAGATTCGTCCAAGAGAGTGTAAGACGACCCTTCGTCGATGAAGGCGTAAATTGTAAGGGAGGTATCTTTGCCATGTAGAATGACAGGAAGAATGCGGAAAAGGGGCCACCGCAAATCACCGGATGTTACGTGGCTAGAAGAAACATTCATCCGCTCGGAAGGAGTGGTGGAGTGCAGTAGAGTAATGGTGCTTCTGACGACAACCGCTGACCCTGCAACCGCTCCAGGATCGACACGGCCACTTGCCGTGACTGTTGAGGCATGTTCTGCAGAGTCCTTTTTGTTGAACTAGCTTCCAACGATCATCCACGCTGGCACCATTGAACTGATGACATTCAGCCACTCGATAGCCCGCTCGTCCACACGATACGCATTGCCTTCCTGGTTTAGTGCTAGTAGGCGTACTGGTAGACGTGGGAGTTGGAGTTTCATCTGCGGAGTGAGCTTGAACAACACCTTTGTTTCCACCCTTCTGTTTGTTGCTCCGGGTTTCCGTGAACATGATAGACCTTTGAGTGGAACCTAATCCTGGGAGGGTGAAGGAAACTTCGCTTGCTGCTGTCACCCATCTTGACATGAGCTCACCAAAGCTGTCGAGTGTTGCGGGCTGATGCTGGTTTTTGTAGATTGCCCAATCGAGTCGCAGCAAACCTGGCAGTTTCTCTACCAGTTCTTGCATAAGTACCGGATTCGCAAGGTGGTTGAACTGCTGTGCTGCTTTGAGATGGTCGACCAGGTTTTACACTGCAAGACCAAAGTGCATGATTGTTTCTAGCCGGTCGTTTTTCGGTTGAGGGATTTGAACGATTTTGCCCAACAACGACCTAATGAGGAGATCCGGTCTTCCGAAAAGAGTACGCAGGGTCTGGACGACGTGCGGTACGCTTGCTGGCAAGAGCAATCGGCTTCTCACTGACTCCAGGGCGTTTCCCTTCAAGCACCGTTGAAGGCGAACGGCGAAAATTCTAAGTTCCACCGGTGACGGTTCCCACTGTCTTTTGATTCACCGTAAATGCAGGGCTCGTCGTGACACAAATTGAAGAATCAATGTGACGATTGACTCATAGACGGTGAGTCGGTGAAAATGGTAATGACGTTTTGATATCTGTCAAATTGCATGACATTTTTTTTAGTACATCATCATTTTTGTAATTTCGGATCTTTAAACTAGGTGTCGCATGACCAGTTTTGGCTTTGCTTTGATTCGCCAATAGGAAGGACGTTTTTGTTAGTGGGATGGGTGGATTAGATCTGTATTCACATTGGAAAGTGATGCGATCTTTTAAAGCCTAGAAAGCAAATGACGTGACCCAATCAACTA